AGGGAAGCGCAGCGGAGAGATAAAAAAACAATGGTCACAAATTAGAATTACAAATCGAGGATTTGTAAAGAAGAATGTCAGAGGATTTCGATAAAAGCCAAGAGGAGACTGGTTTTCCTTTGCTTAAGTAAGGAAACTTTGCTTCCTTTGATTCTTTAAACAAACGTTGGTTTTCACGAGACTCACCGGTGCATGCGCAACGCTGACCGCTGATCATCAGCCCGGAACTGCTTCCGTGTACAACTGTTTGCGTAAGCTAGATTAAAGTGATTATTACGTTTTGAATATAGATATTTTTCTTACAAAACGCATCGATTCGCTACAGGAGGCCTTTGTTCACCCCCCAGAGCCGTGTGAGGCTCTTTTTATTATGGATGGATGCGCTTTATTTAACTTCTTTCGGACTGATGAATTGCAACACCCACTGACTGCCATTAAACAGCTTGGAAGATCAAAGACCATTTTTAATATAACTCAGATTGGATTCGTCTGAAAGAAGAAAGTCATATACACCTATCCCTAATAGCACACGTACATCTCTGAGACGTCTATTTGACATTTACATCTGCAAGATGTATTTTTTTAGAATGTTTGCGTCTATAGGACGTTTCCTTTTAGATGTCAAATAGATGTATATTAGATGTCTTTAAGATGTTTATGATTTAGAATGCATTTAAAACTGACATCTGAAAGACGTCTGTCAGACGTTTGTAGACAGCAGATGCTTTCCGGATCAAGAGATCTTTATCAGACATCTAGCAGATGTATATGTGCTATCTGGGAGGATGCCTGGAGGGTGAATAATTCATGGGTTAATTTTCATTTTTGGTTGAACTAACCCTTTAAATGCAGAGCACAAATTCAGAGTACTTGGCTACACATCACGTCACTCACGCACTGTCACTTAAAAACTGATCAGGTGAAGGCATCTCAAGAGACAGTAAGTGAATTTGGATGTGCCTTGATGCCTTCCAAACTGCCAGCATCAAATTAAAAATTTGGGGCAGCAAACAGGGTGGCCAATCAGGGGTCAGGGGTGTCATATAGGACACCCCACTGGCTCCGCCATTGACTGTACCATTCTCTGTCTGTGGAAAGTACCAGTACTAAGGCTGGAGAAGAATTTAAAAAAACTCCTCTAAAATCCATGGTCAGGCACATAGCATACAATGGGAGGAAGTGCAACACTATTGTTCTTTCCTCTAATAGTAATGATCCAACTAAAATAAGGATACACAGTTCACAAAGAACAAAGATAAAATCTGTGAGTTATTTCAAGTAGATTGCTGTCTTATTTGTCAAGATGATTCAAATTCCATCCTAGCAAATATTATTTCTGCATTACTTTGACAACCTACAGTACATATAACATTTGTCAATAGAATGCAGCTTCTAGAAAGCGTTTTATTAATGCAAGATTTATGACTGAAGCATTATTTCTGGAATGCTGGATTGCCACTCAAATAAGTGTTTCAATCATGCATGTGAATCAACTGTAGTTTTGTGAATCAACATAGTTTTGTGGTAATGATTGCTATGTTTATGTCTATGATTGCATTTAATTAATGAAAAGAACTTTGCATCACTTATTTATTTATTCTGTAATTACCATCCATATTCCCTCCTGCTATCTCACACACAAACACATCATATTCGCAAGTATTTTTTACTCACTGTGAGATTCATGTTGACATCACACATCTGAGATCAGGTGGATCTGCTTGGTGCAAATAGATCCTCTTGGGTGCAAATGCACATTTTTAATTCATCAAGACCCACATTCATTACCATCAAAGATCAGCCAATGATACAATGACAGAGCAGGTAGAATCACTTCCAATTCCTAAGTGTTCCAAGACATAAAAATTCAGATAAAATATACGTTTTGAGGATATCTTGCCAGGAACCTGGCTGTTCAGTATCTCATCCCAGCAGGGGCCCTATGAGAGCTGTTTTCAGTCTCATTTGGATTCTCTCTCTTGCTCTGCACTTTAACTTTTAATGTCATCAGCTGGAGTGTCTGCCAAATACATTTTGTGATTACAATGTTTATCCATAATGTGGATAAATAGACTTACAATACTCCTGTGCAACTCTTGATATGGAAATATGTTTTTTACATGTTGTAATCATTCACGGTCACACTTTATTTTAAGGTCCAATTTACGCTATTAACAAACCATTAACTATGACTTTAGCGTCAATAAATTCCTAATTTTCTGCTTATTAATAGTTAGTAAGGTAGTTGTTAAGTTTAGTTATTGGGTCGGATTAGGGATGTAAAATATGGTCATGAAGAATGTGTGCTTTATAAGCACTAATAAACAGCCAATATGTTAATAATAGGCATGCTAATAAGCAACTAGTTAGTAGTGAGAACTGGTCCCTAATTAAAGTATTACCTCATTCGCAAATTAACAATATTGTGCTTGATTAATATACATCCAGCAAATTCCCTGTGAATTTATAGGTGTAAATTCTGATTTACAAATGCTGTCTTTACACACACACACACACACACACATTAGTATTATTAATAAAAAAACTTTTGAATGGTAATGTACATGGAGAATATTTAATTAACTAATAAGTGTTATATTTATTAACTTTTAGCCAGTAAGTTTTTTT